ATACAGATGAGCAAGAGACATATGAAAAAATATTCATTATCTCTAATCATCAGAGAGATGGAAATTAAAATGACTATGAGAAATCACCTCACACCTACCAGAATGGTGGCCATCAACAAATCCTCAAACAACAAATGCTGGCGAGGATGTGGAGAAAAGTGTACCCTAGCACACTGCAGGTGGGAATGCAGACTGGTGCAGCCACTATGGAAAACAATATAGTGTTTCCTCAAAAAATTAAAAATAGAACTGCCATTTGACCCAGTGATCCCACTTCTTGGAATATATCCTGAAACACCAAATCAGGAAGAATATATGCACCCCTATGTTCATAACAGCGCTATTTACAATAGCTAAGATCTGGAGACAGCCCAAGTGACCATCAATAGATGAGTGGATAAAAAAAAAAAAAAGCCTTTGGTACTTTTACACAATGGAATAATATGCAGCTGTAAGAAGGAGGGATATCTTACCCTTTGAGACAACATGGAGGAACCTGGAGAGTATTGTGCTAAGTAAAATAAGCCAGTTAGAGAAAGACAAGTTCCACATGATTTCACTTATTTGTGGAACATAATGAACAAAATAAGCTGTCAATCAAAAGAGATCCAGGATGATGGAAGTAGGAAACAGACTGACAAACCTCAGAGGGATGGGAGTGGTAGGGGAAGGAAGAGATAAATTAAATTAAATTAAATTAAATTAAATTAAATTAAATTAAATGATAAATAAATAAAATATAAAATAACAAAATAAAATAAAAGTAACCCCAGTATCTACATGCCTTGGTAGTTTGTACTTTTATGGTAATTTCAATTTCTCCTAAAATATTGATAAAGAGAAGTGGAAATGCTCTTATAATTCTCAGTGCAGCCCTATGCTTACTTCTGTTTATTTTTCTAAATCCCATTTCTGTTTTGTACAATCCTTCTTAGAATGACCTTACTTTTTACATTAACAGCAATTTTAATTTTCCTCATTTGCCTGAAATATAGCACCCTCGTCCACTCCTACTTGACCAGAGAAGACATAGGTATTTTTTGAAAGATGAATTGTGGGAGGCCAGCCCTAATTATAGCCTGGAACTATTGTAGCTGGTGACCCACCAGCTGAGTGTTGTAGCTGTGTGAAACCTGAGACCTAATGCTAGTTCTTCTGTTTTCCCTGGGGTGAAAGACACACATAGCCCAGCATTGGTCCATAATGAGGCAGTCACACTGTGCCCGGTTAAGCCACAATCACTGGGGAGGGAAAGGATTCCAGACTGTTGGGGTTCTAGTCTGTCCTTGGCTTGTGGTGAGGGCATTGTGTGAACAGGCAGGGTTGGTGCTATTTCTAGCATTTTCTTTCTTCCTTCCTTCCTTCCTTCCTTCCTTCCTTCCTTCCTTCCTTCCTTCCTTCCTTCCTTCCTTCCTTTCTTCCTTCCCTCTCTCCCTCCCTTTCTTCCTTCCTTCCTTTCTTCACCCGAGGACATTTTTGCATATTTATCTTGAGATAGAGTGGGAGAGAAAGAGGAAAAGAGAGAGAGAAACATTGACGTGAGAGAGACACATCGAGTGGTTGCCACCCACATGACCCCAACTAGGGCTGGGAACAAACTGCAACCAAGGTACGTGCCCTTAGCAGGAACCGAACCCGGGCCTTTCTGGTCTGTTGGCTGACACTCTAACCACTGAGCAAAACCGGCCAGGGCTCTTTCTTTCTTTTTTATCTATATACCCTATCATTCTTTGGTGTACTGTGCTCATAGGAATTAAAATGATAAACTGTCAGTGAATGAAGGCCCCTGCTCACAGGTCCATCTGCAATTGATTGTGCTAGCAACGGCATGACTTGATTTGCCAGCTATTGGAGGAACTGTCACTATTGCCACCACGTGTTTATTGAACCTTCTGAGGGTACCAATGGGATGTGTGAGGCCTTTTCATAATCTCTGAGGAGCACCCCAGCAGCCAGTAGGTAGCTGATTCCTGTCTTCTTGGTATCTCAGAATGAACAGAAAACAAACTGCTGGCACAGGGAGAGTTCTCAGATGAGCCATTTTTCTTTACCAAAACAGAACATCCTGATTAAACTGGTTTAACACATGATGACAAATTAACTCATTTAACAAATAGTCCATGAGTAGGGTGTTTCTAACTGTTTAATTCACAGCAAAGTAAACCATCAACTCAATAAATAGGTGAGCTATAAAATAGGGCAAATATTTGTCAATTATATATCTGATCCAGGGTTAATATCTAATATTTGCAAAGAACTCATAGGCCTCAAGAGCAAAAACAAAACAAATAAAACCCCAAACAATCTAATTTAAAATGGACAGAGGACCTCAACAAATATTTCTCCACAGAAGAAACACATATGGTCAACATTTACATGAAAAGGTACTCAACATCACTAATAACCAGGAAATTTCAAGTGAAAACCACAATGAGATATCACCTCACACCTGTTACAATGGCTATTATCAAAAAGACAAGAGATAACAAGTATTTCAGAGGACATGGAGAAAAAGAAACCCTTGTGCTCCTGTCGTTGGTTGGAATATAAATTGGTGCAGTCACTAGGAAAAACAGTATGGAGATTCTTCAAAATATTAAAAATAGAACTACCTTATGATCCAACAATTCAACTTCTGGGTACTTATGGAAAGGAAATGCAGACACTAAGTCAAAAAGATATCTGCACCCCTATGTTCATTGCAGCATTATTTACAATAGCCAAGACATGGAAACAAACCAAGTGTCCATTCATGGATGAATGAATAAAGAAAATATACATAATTAAATATTATTCAGCCATAAAAAAGAAGGATACCTTGATATTTGTAACAACATAAATGGATCTTTAGGGCATTATGCTAAAAGAAATAAATCAGAGAGAGAAACGAAAATACCGGATGATCCCAGTAACATGTGGTATCAAAAGGAAAAGAAGCAAAAACAAACTCATGGACACCAAGAAGAGATTGGTGGTTGCCAGAGGCAGGAATTGGGGTGGGGTAAAGGTAAATGGGTGAAGGTGATCAAAAGGTACAAACTTCCAGTTGTAAAATAAGTCCTGGATGTAATAAAAAGTAAAAACCAGTTTAGGTCACTGTTCTGGTGACATCACAACGGAACTATGCTACTTCCATATTGTTGTTCTTTCTTCTTTATTGCACATTTCCAGGATATATTCTCAATAGCAGTCATGTGCAGAGCAAATTGAGGAGCTGATTCTTCCTATTAAGACCAAAGACCTGTCTACTAGAAACTACATGTTCTTTCAGACTCTGTTTCTACTGAGTATATTCTGAATAATATATTAGTCCAGTTGGGGAAGATATAAAGAGTTTCCATCACATTTCATTCAGTAAAAGTTTCACATTCCTTTCTTTTGCCTTTCATCCAGATATAACATTCATTGGAAGATTAAGAAATTGGTGTTTTTATATCTGCCCACTATCCCCATCCTAACATCTGATCTTCAATTCTGACACAATTTATTCAAAATGGGGTGCCAGGTAATGTGTAAATCTCTTGAAATTCACAGTTCCCACTTTTATGGAGTTCAGTGTATTGGAGACCATATTAATAAAACAAGAAGTGCCACAATCTGAGAAGAGGTCTTTATCACCAGGTCATTCCATGGACCCTGAGAGCTTAGCCAGAAAAACTTGCCTAAGGTCAGTAAAAGTTAGGCAGTTGTAGGAAGGGGCTAGAGAGGGGTAGAGGTTTATTCTCAGGACCTGGTTATTGATTGAATGAATGTGTTAGGGATGGGGAGAGTAGTGGAAGATTCTGAGATGGCTGGAGCAGCTGGATAGATGACGGTATCTTTCAGAGTTACTGACATCAGAGAAGGTACACATTTGCCATGGTGGGAGAGGAAAAATTTAGGTGTGTGCATGTTGAGTGTCAGGTGTCTATGGGACCATCAGATAAAGATGTGTAGGAAGTCACTGGATACTCAGGACTGTCATAAAGGAGAGAGACTGAGCTGAAGATGTGGATCTGAGAGTCATCAGTGGATGGCAGCATGGCATAGTGGTTAAAGTCAAAGATGATCTTGAATCTAGGCTCCAACACTTACTGCATCTGTTACTTTGTGCAGCAACACTAGTTTGCAATAATCACTTACATCTGCTGTGACCATTTAGAGTAAACTAACGCTCCATTTTTAAATGTTAAATGACTGTTCAAGTACGGTTATCCCCTAGGCAAAAGGAAAATAAATCCGTTTATGTGTTTGAGTATACATACAACATACATTGAATTTTTCAACATGTGTTTGTATTCTTATTGGAAACAGATGTAAATAAGTGAATACAAATTTTATTCTTTGATGTGTACACTAAAATAAATGACATCACCAGTCAGTCACATAGAGATTTCTGTCTCCTTTAAATCCTTCTAACCACCATCTCCTCCTGCTTGGGCCCACCCTCCTTTCCCCACAGCCCCACCCCCACCACCAGAGGGATGGAGTTTATGACCTGTTTCTCAATCACTCCACTGTTACATCATCTCTAGTGCCTTGGAAACTCTTCTTTTGTCATCAGGTATCACTTGGCCCAGTAAACAGCTAAAATCTGGGGTCTAGGGGAGGGCCCTTCAGTTGTGCCACTAGCCTGCGAAAGGTAGGGGATGGGGTGGTGTTAATTTCAGGGTTCGGAATCAGGGATTAGTCCTTTATTTCACATGAAAAGAAAAAAATTCTAACCGGCTTGTAACACCAAGAAGCTGATCACCATTAAGCCCCTGAACAGTCCTTCTCTATTCACCCCAGACCAAAGGGAGGAAATTTAGGACTCTGTTTATCTCATTTGTAAACCTCCAGTCCTTTAGAAAGTCCTGCTTTTTCTCAAGAATCACTTTCCACAGTCAATCACCACTCCCTAGGGGATGGCTTGCTGGTGGATGCAGCTTCTCTAAGATCTCAGGAAGACTTTTGCTCTTAGTGGTCTAAATTCTATCTTCTCCACGGGCAATACTTAATTTTGTGGCCAGAAGATCTGAGGCACCACTTGACATTGAACATCATAAAGGTGATCCAGAGAGAGAGGGAGAGAGAAAGAGAAAGGGGATCTCCAAAAACAGGCCAGGTAAGAGTGTTTCTATAATATCATATGTGAATGTAATCTTTATTGCTAACCATTAGTGAGGCTTTCTAAGTAAACAAGTATATTTCTTAGATGACCTGTCTCCAATCTAATATTTATTATTTAAAATTCTGTGTGGAATTTTTTTTTCTGGTTGTAGAAACAGGATCTTTAGACTTTCTGTGGCACTCAGGAACTGAGTTTGAATCAGTGTCAAAGATCATTCCTTAGTACAGTGCCATCAAATTCACCACCATTCTTCAAAATAGATAAAAAATGATTTTGGTAAATAAATAGTATATGTGTAGTAGGCGAAATTCTAAAGATTTTTTCCTAAATTTCCTTCCCCCAGTTATTCAATCGAACATATATCTAGGTGCTTCTGTGAAGGTACTTTGTAGCTGTAATTCAGTTGACCTTAAAATAGATTATCTTGGCCCAGCCAGTGTAGCTCAGTGGAATGAGTGTCGTCCCATGAACTGAGAGGCCCCTGTTTGATTCCTGATCAGGGCACATGCCTGGGTTGCAGGCTCGATTCCTAGTGGGAGGCGTGCAGGAGGCAGCCTATCAATGTATCTCTTTCATACCAATGTTTCTATCTCTCTCTCCCGTCCTCTCTCTCTAAAAGAAAAAAAAATCAATAAAAACGTATTTTAAAAATTACTTTGGCCCTGGCCAGTTATGCTCAGTGGTTAGAGCATCGGCCCTTGGACCAAAGAGTCGCCGGTTTGATTCTAGCCAAGGGTACATACCTCGGTTTCAGTTTGTCCCTGGCCCTGGTGGGGGTCTTGTGGGAGGCAACCAATCGATGAGTCTTTCTCACATCAATGTTTCTATCTCTCTCTCTCTTCCCCGCTCCCTTCCACTCTATCTAAAGATAAATGGGAAAAATATCCTCAGGTGAGGATTTTAAATAAATGAATGAATGATTGAACTACCTTGGATTATCTGAGTGGGCCCACTGTAATAACATGAGCCCTTAAAAGCAGAAGAGAAAGGCCAGAAAAGTCAGTCAAAGAGATGTGGCAGAAGGGGAAGGCAGAAAGGTTCACAGTGTCACAGAGGGACTTGATCCACTGTTGCTGGAGAAAGTCACATGGGAAGCATGAGAAGGAATGCAGGCAGCCCCTAGGATAAAAAAAAATGGCCCTCAGCTGACATCCAGCAAGGAAATGGGGACCTCAGTTCTGTAACTGCAAGGAACTGATATCTACTAACAACATAAATGAGTCTGGAAACAGGTTCTTTCTCAGAGCCTCCAGTAAGGGGCATAGCTCTGTGGACATCTTGATTTTGGCCTTGTAAAACTCTAGGCAGAAGACCCAGCCAAACCTACCTGGACTTCTGACACAGAAAACCTGTGAGATAGGAACTTAGTGTTGTTTGAAGCCATGATGTACATGATAAATTGGTCACGCAGTGATGTAGAATTAATTCAATGTGGAAACCTACATTTTCCATATTGATGTAATTGAAAAACATCACTGAAATATATAAAATATTATTAGACATGTTTTATCATATATTTTGTTTCCCACAATTATTAATACTTATTTAAACATGTCTGTGAAGGTGAGTCCAAGATGGTATCATAGGTAAACAACTGAGTTCACCCCCTTTCAAGAAGACATTGAATGTACACCTATATTTAGAGGAATTCCTCTTGAGAGACAGCTGTGAGTCACCTGAACAGCTTCTGCACAAGTAAGAGATAGAGATACATAGAAAAGATTGGGGAAACACATGAGCCCTCTGGAATCTGAGGAAACAAGTCAGGACCAGAGGAATCAGTGAGTGTCATTGTTGACCTTTCCCCTGAACATGGATAGATGGTGGGAGCCCTATCCAAATTATCTGGCTGACTTGCAGGGTTCTGTAGGGAACCCCAGACACTCCTCCTGGAGCTAGATCCAGCAGAAACAGGAAAGCACCATAGCATGCATGCAACAGGCCCCTCCACTTGGAGATTGATCCAGTGAGTATGGCAGGGTGCTGCTTCACACACCTATAGGGCTGTGCTTGCATGCAGGGCTCTCCTGCCTGGAGACAGTGCAGAGAAGGCAAAATATGCAGTACCCGCCTATAGGACTACTCTGCCCAAAGAAAGTGCAGAGATAGTTGGGTACTACTGTGTACTCACATTTCGCTGCCCCTCCTGGAGAGAGTGAGGAGATAGCAAAATGCTTCTGTACTCACATGCAGGACTGCCACTATCCAGAGAAAGTACTAACATAGTGGGGCACTGCTGTACGTGCAGGTGGGGTTGCCCTAACCAAAGAAAGTACCAAGTTAGCAAAACTTTCCAGTACCCATATACAGGGCTGCCCCATGCAGAGTGAGTGGAGTACTGCTATGCAGGTGCCCAGGCCAGCCCCACCCAGAGAGAGTGCAGGACTAACAAAGTAGTACTGTGAGTGCACACAAGGCTGCACCATCCAGAGACAAGGCAAAGCTAGTGTGGTCTTGATACACAAGCATGCAGAGCGGTCTCCCCAAGGTCTTGCTGTGACAGCAGACAATTAATGTAACAAGGTATACCAAGCCTGATGAGCAGCTCTGCCCTGACCCTCCTCTAACAACAGAATTAGGAAACAGGGAACAAATGCAGGGCTTGGAGTGAGTGGGGCATCGTTGAGCATTTGAGGAGCTGAACCACACAGAGAGGTTGCAGAACTAGCAAAGTGTAGCTGTGCTCACACACAAGACAGCCCCACCTGGAGAATAGGTGGAGCTAATATTGCATTGAGATGCAAATATGTACAGCAGCTCCACCCACACCCTGCTCTGACAACAGACAATTAAAACAAGGGGGTACTCCAAGCCCAAATGAATCCTGGTCTGCACCAGGTAACCTCATCCAGGTAAGAAGGGCAAGGAAGCAGTCACACATCAAGCTGCCCCACCCAGAACCCACTCCTCGGGCCAGACAACACACCAGACGCTGCACACACACATCCCAAATACAACCAGCTTGTCAAAACTACTCTATACACAGTCTATACCAAAAAAAACCAAAACACAGTTTTTCAAGAAGGAGAGAGATAGCTATTCCATCCAACTCATAGGAACAAACACAGAAAGTCAAGCAAAATGGGTTACAGAAGAATATGCCCCAAATGAAGAAACAGGAAAAAAACTCCAGAGAAAAATCACAATCAAATGGAGATCAGTAATTTGCCTGATAAAGAATTCAAAGAAATGGTCATAAGGATACTCAGTAATCTTGAGAGTAGAATAGAGGAACTCAGAGAGAACTTCAACAAAGAGATAGAAAATATAACAAGGAACCAATCAGAGGTAAAGAATACAATAATTGAAATGAGTACATTAGAAGGAATTGATAACAGATTAGTTAATACAAAAGAATGAATTAGCCACCTGGAAAACAGAATAGTGGAAATCGCTCAATCTAAATAGAAAAAAATTTTTTTTAATTTTTAAAAAATGAGGATAGTGTAGGAGATCTCTAGGATAACACTGTTTCCTGACATTTACATTATACAGACTCCAGAAAGAGAAGAGAGAGAGAAAGGAGCAGAAAGAATATTTGAAGAATGGTTGACAAAATTCCTAATCTGCGGGGGCGGGGGGGGGGGGGGCAGACATTTATGTACAGAAAGCACGGAGTTTTCCAAAGAAGATAACCCCAATTACACCCACACCAAGACATATTATAATTAAAATGGAAAAGTTAAGGGTAAAAATACAATTAAAAAAAATCTTTATTGTTGAATGTAGAATGTATTACAGATGTTTCACATTTTTGCCCCATTGACCCCCTCCTCCCCACTCCCGCCCCCCTCCCGCCTTTTCCCACACTATTGTCTGTGTCCATTGGTTATGCATATAAGATCTTTGGTTTATTTCTTCCCACCACCCCAACCCCTTTCCCTTTGAAGTTTGTCAGTCTAGCAATGAATTTGTACTTCTTAATTCCTTCACCTTTTTCACCCATTCTCCCAACGCCCTCCCATCTTGCAACCAACAAAATGTTCTCTGTATCTATGGGAATGTTTCTGATCTACCTGTTCATTTTGTTTGTAGATTCCATTGTTGATAGATATGTATTCATTGCCATTTTCTTTGTTCATATATTTTATCTTTTTCTTCAAAAAGACCCTTCATCATTTCATATAATAACAGTTTGGTGGTGATGAACTCCTTTAACTTTTTCTTGTCTGGGAAATTCTTTATATGGCCATCGATTCTAAATGACAGCTTTGCAGGATAGTATAATCTTGGTTGTAGGTTCTTGCTTTTCATCACTCTGAATATTTCTTGCCACTCCCTTCTGGCCTGCAAAGTTTCTTTTGAGAAATCAGCTGACAGCCTTATGGGTACTCCCTTGTAGGTAACTAGCTGCCTTTCTCTTGTTGCTTTTAAGATTCTCTCTTTGTCTTGAACCTTTTGCATTTTGATGATGATGTGTCTTGGTGTGGGCCTCTTGGGGTTCATCTTGTTTGGGACTCTCTGTGCTTCCTGGACTTGTATGTCTGTTCCTTCACCAAGTTAGGAAAGTTTTCTGCCATTATTGTTTCAAACAGGTTTTTGATTTCTTGTTCTCGTTCTTCTCCTTCTGGCACCCCCAAGATGCGAATGTTGGCACACTTGAAGTTGTCCCAGAGGCTCCTTACACTATCTTCATTTTTTTGGATTCTTTTTTCTTTTTGCTGTTCTGATTGGGCATTTTTTGCTTCCTTATATTCCAAATCGATGGTTTGCTTCTTGGATTTACGTACTCTAGTATTGAAGCTGTGTAAATTATTCTTTATTTCAGTTAATGCCTCCTGCAATTCTGACTGGTCCTTTTTTATGCTCTTGAGGTCCTCACTAAGTTCACTGAGGTTCTCACTAAGTTCATTGAGCATCCTTATAAGTAGTATTTTGAACTCAGCATCTGTTAGGTTGCTTATCTCCATTTCACTTAGTTCTTTTCTTGGGGTTTTGTTCTGTTCTTTCATTTGGGACCTGTTTCTTTGTCCCCTAATTTTGGCTGCCTCCCT